TTTTTTTTTTTTTACACGTGCCATACGTGATTGTCGATCGAATGTTTCACTCTCTTTTTCTTTTTGTTTTTTTTTTTTTTAGCAATTATCAGATTTTTTAGCGGAACGATTTTTAAGTAATTTAATAATCGAGAATTAATCGCGATCGGTATTTGAGATAATAATGTAATATAATAATGACTGATGATCTTCTGGCGAAGAATGAATATTTACACCCTCCAAATTTCTTTCCAAAGGAAAATTTATAATAAAAAATACAATGTTCCACGAAGTGTATAAACAAATTCAAAAGAGATTTCGAAAGATCGAGAAAAATATCCGCAAATTTCATCATTGATTGCGTGCCAGGTTTCGCTCAATATGTAAATAGTCGCGCGATCAACGGTCATTTTATTTTCAATAAATAATTTTCCAGCAAGGAAAGGTTTACGCACGAATGTCGTAATATAAGGAAAATTCACGTATTTATTATACATTTATATACAGATTTCAAATAATTCAATTCATGAACTTTGAATTAATTTAAAAAAAATCCCAATAATGATTAGAAAATATCTTTATGTATATTAAAGAAATATCAACTAATCTCAATATCTTGCAAAATAGAATAAACAGAGTTAAATGAATATTTAGTGACAATTAGATAAATATTAATCAAAATATAAAACAACTTTTTCTCGTATTTACTGGACAATTATGAACTTCCGATTATAAATTGTTTACTTATCAATCTCCTTCACAGTATAATAATATTTTCAGCATATTTTATGCAGTAATTCGACGAAACATTTATTTTATTACCCTCTATATTAACTAATTTTTCTAACAAAAATGGATAAATTATATCGTAATATCATAACATTTTCAGTGAATAATTTTCATTTTCATTTTGATCGACGAATCTTATCTCATTGACTTACACGCATAAATGAAATATATAAATATATTGTCCACACATATTCGTTTCACAGCAATTTATCTGCTCAATCTCCTATTTTTCTTCAATTTTTAGAAAAGAAAAAAAGGAAAAACTCAAAATCCCTTCTTATTTCCCAGAATGATCCATAAAAATCCTCCCCTCGTTCGACGAGTCCGGCTGAGAGCGGCCGCCGCGGCGTTCAGACGTCAGAATGGCAATAGAACGTGGAGGTGAACACAGCAAAGCGGGGACCGCGCTTTCATCGCGATGTCCTTCGACGTTCCCGCGGCGGCAGCGATCGATAAGGGCCGCAAATAATATTCAATCGGCGGAT